ATCCATCCCTTCTCCGTCAACTCAGACAGTTGTTTCTTAAGTTCCTCAAGTTCCCTCGGAAACATGCGATAGATAGGGCCCTTGGGAACCTTGCTACCGGGCACAATCTCGATCGTGTGCTTAATAGCACGCGAAGTGACCCCGGTTGGTTCAGACAGAACATCGGCAAACTCCGTTAGGAGTGCATCTATGCCAGGAGGATGGGTAGTTGAAGACTCACCTACTTTCTTAACTAACAACATTACTACCTCATCCTCTAACTCTTTTTTGCTACCATCGATCGGAATGCAGGGTAGCTCATACAACAAAAAGACAAGACAGAATCAGACCCTAACCGATGATACAACTTAATCGGTTGTAACTCAGACGATTCATCCTTAATTCTTACTTCTTTCTGTTTGAAATCATTCTTGGGATCAGCTTCCTCGTGCCAATCCATTCCCAAGATGATATCAAACGGGATGTTCTTCTCGATTAGGAAGGGAAGCTCATGCCAAATCTTCTTCCCATCCTTGGTGCTGAACTGACAACGAACACGATCGACGTACTGCGTTACCGTCATCATGCTTTTGTCAGCCAACATGACGCGATCGGTTTAGACAAAGTCTGGATCTTCATGCCGAGATGCAACTTGCGGATTGCTCGTTCAGACATGTAAGATCGTGTGGACCCAGGGTCCAACATCGCACCCACGTGTGTGCGATTAACTACCAAGTCAGCAATCAACAATTCACCCTTAGACTTGGCTTTCTTCGCCCACGAACTGCGTAACGCGACTAACTTGCTACCAAGCTCGGCAAGGGAGTCGTCCAGAGACAAGCATAAGACAGGAGTAGGGTGGCCTGGACGGCGGGCGGAAGGATTTCCATCCTCTGCCACGGGAGTCGGAGTGTGGAAAGGGATCGTAGGTGCCTCGCATGTAATTGCACCCTCCGACTCTGTAGGAACAGATGTTATTCCTACTGGCTTCTCCCTTTTGAGTTCCTAATCAACGGACAGAAGGCAATGACATGCCCCGCAGTGCCACACTTGAGGCACTGCGCATTATCCATTCTATCTTGCCACACCTCCCGGGTTAGTCACATCTTCAGCCACGGTCTGCCGACCGCAATCCCAAGATGGTATGGGAAGGCGCGTGGTTTTCCCTTCGGTCGCGTGTTCGATGACGGTCCTCCCTTGTTGACCCTTGCAACGGTAACCTCCCCCTTTCCTGGGTCACTGCTGCTGTCACCAGCACCCTCGTTCTCCAATGGTCATTTCTCCATTGTATCGTCGTCAAATACGACGAGGGTGTGGTCTTGGCGCTTTTGACGCCATATGACCCGCTTGTCGTAGCCTCCCCGACTGCTTCCTCCTCCATTCTTTACGGCAGCAGCATAGGAACCTTTGACTTGCGAAGTCATTTGTTCCCGCTGCAACGCCAGGTCGCGGAACTGACGGTAACTATACTTACCGGAGTTGGCCTCGGCGACCAAGTGCCCTCGGATCGGTTCGGGCAATGCACGCAAGTAAATGTAGAGGACCTGAGAGTCCTGCAGGTTAAGACCGGGAACCTGTAACAGTCGGTCAACCTCACGAGACAATGACTCAACTGAAGACCAGGACTTTTGTCCTATCGTGGTGAGTTGGTCGAAGGCCTTATCGGTCGTAGTCTTGTCCAAGAAACGGTCCTTGACTTTTGCAAGGAACTTCTTCAAGGTCATAGTCTTCGCCCACTCACCTATATCGTCAAACCCCGCGGCATTTGCTTCTGCCAGAACCCATTGCTTCACCTCACCCCCCATACAAGAAGTGGTGAACGCAACTTGCGACTCTTCTTCTACCGGTGCGGTCCCAACATAGGTCTGGATCTCTGCGATCCAGAGTGGAAGGCTTTCTTCTTTCTTATTAGAAAAAGTAAAAGGCAATTTCATCTTCACCYTTTCTTTTTTYTYTGGCTTAGTCGGATCTGYGGGTTTGGCATTGTCCTTAGGAGAGGGAGTGGGACCGGAGGGACCACCATTCCCATTGCCATTCCCGTTCCCATTCCCATCTCCATTGCCATTCCCATCAGGTTTCTTCTCTTCGGGTTTCTTCTCTTTTGGGTTCTTCTCGGTTTCTTTTACCGTTTCCTTCTTCGTTGTGTCGCCATTTTTCATTCCACCAATAAGCAACTTATCGGGCTTGACGTCCGCTCTTCTTTCTTTATCTTTTTTCTCTTCATCATTTTCAAGCACAGGGGCTTTTCCCTTGATAATGCTAGCAATGACATGAAGGCCAACAGCAAGTTCATCCATTCTGGATTGTTGTTGGTCCAATTTTTCTTCAAGAAAAGCCAAATACGTCAATATTTGTCCGAGCGTATGAGCAACATCTTTTTCATCTAAGGAAACGTACTGCTGTACTCTACCCATTCTCTGCTGTAGTCTAGTTTCCTGTTCTTTCTTTTGCAACAGTTCTTCCCGCTTCCTTTCTTCTTTCGCGAGTGTCTCCTTTAACTGTTGTATGTTCTCTTCACTGCTTTCCACTTTCACTTCTGGTGCACCATCCTTTCGCTGAGCTATTTCTTCCAACTGCTGGATGGTAAATTGGTCCAGTATCTGACGACACTGGCCAATAACCTTCTGGATTTCGGTCGCTGCTGCTATCATCTCCACACCCGTGATAGCTTTGGCCAAACGATTAGAGATCGCATCAAGGTCAAATTTACCCCGGATGTGTTCTCTTGCAGCAGGGACAACAAACTCCATATCCACCAGCAGTTGGGAGAGGAACTCACCCAGTTCACTTCTTCGTGCCTCGGTCTGGGCACGTGTACGCGGCTCAGTCGAGGAGCTACTTGCTCCCACCGCATAAGGCACTTGCCCAGGTCCGAACAAACGAGGCACCCACCGGGTCAGAATAGACTGACGCATGTGCTCAGCAATCGGTGCCATGATCAACATCAACAGGAAACCTAACAGGCCAATTCTTACTCAATAAAAGAAAACAGACAATATTATTTGATGGTTGAACAGCCACTCAACGTCAGTACAAGCAGAGAATTCACAAGAAAATAAATAAATAAAAATAATTAATTATTCTCTTGATTGATGTCTTTTCTATAAGCTGTTCTAATTTTGTTTTCTCTCCTATTCGTGTGATGACTCCTCTTCTAGGTAATCGAGCAGGCCAAGATCGTTAGCATTCACAGGTACGTGTGCACGCACAGCCAGACAACAGGTAAGTACCGACAACACAACCAATCAACGTCAGTCTTCCCACAATGCCACGTCAGCATGCACTCTAATCACCCCGACAGCAATCAAGCACCACAAGCCAAAGTCTGCTGCTCGTGCCGGTCCCAGCGTCGGAATGCATCAATCGTTTCCCGAGGCACGTCGTGCCTGCTTGGGCCAAACCCCCCGGTATGCCAACTCAGCTTTCGCCAAGTCATCACTTCGAACACATCAAAGATCGTGGGGGTGGCTTCAGCAATGAAAGCTGGCCGCTCTTCTCTTGTTACTCGGATCCGTTAGTGAAGGTGAACTCCCACAATGCTGCGCTTCACAAGTCTGCTCGCCGCATCCCAAGTCCAATCAAAGCCTGCCACGTCAGCGCTTGATCTCGCCAATGCCAGTGAGTACTCAAACAGCCAATCAATTGGCTCCACTCGTCTCTGGCTGGCGAAATAGCAATGCGGCAACTCTGTTTTGTCGGCGAGATATCAACAGCACATGACAAAAGTTCCCACTCAATATTTCACGTGGACGTGGAAGTGCCACGTCAGCATCAGAATCCAATGGCAGTCAATATACTGCCCGTCATCACCATATCCTTCGCACGCGTCGTCGTGCTCGATAGAGAGCATCCCGATACTCACTTACCTGCGCGCGCGAACGTGGAGAGAAAATGGCGCGCTCGTTATCAATAGCGTCGGAGAGACGCGAGCGCCGTAGTAGACAATGTCGGAAGTAGTGCTCTGATACCAAATTGCAATGTGCCCAGTCGTGATAATCAGTCGTCACTCGCAAAGACAAAGTAGACGAACGCTGCTGATAAATCATAATAATATTGATCCCAAAATGAGAGAGAATACATACACA